CTTCCCCTTTTCAACTCTCAATAATGTTCTTCGCCTTTTATATATCTAATAAAAAAAAGTGGACGATTCGTGTATAATGAAGTTTCTCATCTTTAGCTATCTACTTCTCAAATGGGATCGGGTTTTTAATCTTTAATATTAAATTTATTAAATTCGTAAGCAATTTCCTTTTGTATATGTAATTTTTTTATTATTCATGTAACAACTCTTTAATTGTTAAAATAAAGGAATAAATTTTTTGCTCAACGAACATTTATTGTTCCAGTATTCTCATTTTATGTTAAAATATATTACAATGTGCAAAATTTTTGACAAAATATAAAATTATTTCTAGAATTAACTATTACTATAACTCACTTCCCGGCATAAAGTCTTATCTTAGATTTGCATTTTTTTTGCAAACTGAAATAAATACTTTGTATTTCATTTTTTTAAAAAATGAAAATGTATTTGAATAAAAGTCTTTTACTCGTTATCAGCACTATTTATTTGATCGGTTTATTCAAACAGCTTTATCGCAACAATACAATGTGCTTGTGATAATCCAATTTCTTCTTTAGCTAATATAGTAAAAGTTACATCAAATAGTGTAAATCTAAAAAATCGAGCGGTTCAGAAATAGACTCATTGGGAAACGTTGATAAATTTAGCCCATTGCTAATTGTTTGGATGAATGTCTAGATGGAATCATGAATTAGCTCTCGGTTTTAAACCCTGATGTTTTTATTTAGGCTGTTGCAACCGATTATCTTGATAAAGTCGGCTGTTAAAAATATGAATTCAAAAAATTTTTATTGATGTTAATTATAAAAAAATTATTTATTATTAATCTATCTTTTATTTTTTGATCATTTTTTATTTTACGCATTAAACATGGAATTATAATTTATATTCTATATAGTAAATAAAATGAAACATACTAAGTCATAGTGCACATATTATTGATAAGCGATCTGCAAATTAAGACCATAAACTAGAATAGCAATAACAGTCACCATTACCACCTTTAAAATTTCGTTATAACGTCCCTTAACATTAACATTAAAATTTTGAATAATAGTAGTATATGTCGATCGAATATCACGTTTTGACACTATATGATCTACATGGCACGTTTTCTGTACAACAGACTTTTAAAAGATGTCAAGTTTTTTTTTCTACAGAATAATGGCACATTTTTGACTAAGAATATCATCCTTTTCAGGAAGCAGTTTATTAAAATTATTTTAGCACGATAAGGTAGAGTATATCGACCTAAGATTGCGTTAGCAATCGCCCAAGTATTATAATTTATCTTCTTTATTACTGCTGCTAATAATGCTATCATTTTTATTATGGCTTTTAATTTTTTTGTTTAAATTATCTAATGAATTTAAGCTTATATTTATTTCTTCTTTTTAATATATTATTATTGAAGTCATTAATATTGCTGATAATTTGCAACAAATCTATCCATTATAAATCAAAAATCAAGTTTAATTAAAAAAAAAAGCAGTCAGAACTTACACATTTGAAAAGGATGTATGTAATTTACATACAGAGTTGCTATTAGTAGTGATGGTGGTAATAAAGCTTGTTGATGAGGAAGATAAGGATGATGATCTTTTCGTTAACAAAAACCTACCAGTTTTCTATATACACTACCTTCATCAACTCTTGGTTTTTCCTTGTACCTTTCAACCCCATCCTCATGTGCGTATTATTATCTGGCATTGGCTGTCCATTTTTATCATTTAAACATGCAAATCATTGGATTAATTGAAAAATACAGGGAAAAAAATAAGGTAAATTCTTTTTTAATTATGGTTTTTATAATATCACGTGTTATTTGATCTTTGTGCAAGTGTTACATCAATGAAAAAAAAATTGAACATATTTCGATATTATTATGCTTTTCATGTAGTTTTAATCATTAACAATTGGATGGATCATCAAACATTCTTATTTCTGGCACTTATTGCCATGTTACTTAACGTTTGATTTGAATTATCTCTCAGATATTAAATTATTAAAATATTATAATCAACTCTGTCCAAGAAAAAAGAGCCAATCGGCCTGAAGGATAAGATATGAGTATCACCCATTATTTGGTCACTCTGGTAGAAATTTATATACTATTTTATTATCGATATTACTATTAATATTAATATCTTCTTCTCCGTCGTCATCATCATCATCATCACCATCATCATCATAATCATCATAACCATCGTCATCATCATCCATCTCTCTATTCTTTTCCTTATTAATCCATTCCTATTTTGTTTCTATTTTTTTTTTTTTCTAGGACTGTTTTTTTTTTTGGTAGATGTTGTTTATACTAGAATCGGAAACTCCACAGGTAACTCTCGAACTAAAGTTACCATTTTATTAAATGAGAAATCTGAGTTCAACTCGGCCTTTTTATCAGGCTTTATTGCGTTGATTATCTTTGGTTTATATTATAGGGCTAGTTCTCATAAGTTTCATGGCGAACCAAAAGTCAATAATCCGTAAACATTTTTGCTTGTAAAAGTAAGCATTTACTGATAAAGATATTTATTTTATTTTTTATGTGAAAGTCAGTTTTTTATAATCACTTTTGTTTCGTGTTACAAATAAAAGTAAATCTTAAAACAAAAAATTAGTAAGGAAACAAAGATTTTTGTAAACTGTAATTATGCCAACTATAGATATGATCGTCAAAGTGTCCATTTAACACTAAACCAGAAGGTTGTATGTGACACGACATACTCAATTTCAACTAACCATATTACAGCAAAGACGTTTAACACTGTCAATATTCATAATGTCAGAAATCATTGGTATCATTGAAAGAATTGTTTTATTAGGTCAACAAATTATTGAGAGGTTAGAAGCGCACGAAGAAGCCGTCGCAAGTCTCAAGAGGTTGGAAAAAATTTTATGGCTGCTCAAAGATGTTGTCAACGAAATTACCAACACCAATGTTTATAAATCCCATATTGTCGGTATCAAAGATACTCTTGAACGAACTCAGTATGTTTACATGAAGTGCGCTGAGGACCTTAACAACAAAAAAAAGGACGGCAAGTATGTGATGGGCAAGTTTAAGCAGGCCGTTGGAATATATAAGGCCCCTAATATCCTAGCTGATATCCAACGCACCATCAAAGATGTTGAGAGTCATCTTAGCATCACTGATAAGTCTTTAAGTATTATACAACGATCTCAGGTTTCACTAGCTCCAACAATTGTTGCAACATCCACTTCAATAACCACTACCACCTCCTCCGCTAGCGTTCTAGGATCTGAATTGAGAGAAGTCCTTTCAAACACCATTGATGAATTAGTGAGAAGGCTTAAAAATGACTGTCAGCAACTCCAAGAAAAGCTCGATCGTTGTACAATTTCTATAGAATCTTCTTTCTTTGAAGGTCTGGAAAGTGAGAATCCCGAGGCTATTTCATTTTGGAAGGATCGTTTCGGGTCTACTGAGCTCAATATATCATCTGTTGCCCCATACGAGGTGAGTTGTTTTACTAAATTAGCATTTAAGAATAATAATGATTGATTATTAAAAGTCATAAACGCTAATGTGATCTTTGAATATAGACTATGTATGTCTCCTGGGCTCGGTTTGTTCATGAAATCGAGGTAACTTTCCAGCTAAAGAATATTCCAACTGCAACCAAGGAAGCCTATTTCGGACAAATTGATGACATTCGCAAATATGGTAATAGATACTATATCGATCCAGCAGGAACACGCAATCTCAAAGACATTCGACCACTATGGCTTTCAGCCTTGCGCAGAGCATTGGATCCACTTCATAAAGGCTACGTTAAACCACACGATTTCTTATCTTTCGTTAATACGGAGTCGTTATCTAACAAACTAAGGCAAGTCGTTCTTGATAGCTGCGGATACGGAATTTTTGTGGAATGTCAACGAACAACTAGTGATATTGCACTACCTTCTGAATTAGAGAGTCCTCCCGACCATGTTGGTTGGATGTCAGCGTGTCAAATCATCTCAGTACCCTCATCGGATGAGCTTGGCATATTCATATACGACAAGGAAACCCAGCCACATTTCAAAAATCTTATGGACAGCTTCACATACCCTCAAAATGACGTCTGGGTTTATGTTCGCTATCTCCAGACCGGCCAAATCGAAAGAAAGCTTCTCTCAAAACATGTCCGAATGCTTGGTGGACTCTGTGTTGGAGCTTCAATTTCTATCCACTACGATATGGAAAATAGTTCAGGTAATTGGAGTGATAGCCTTTTAATTGTGGAGCTCAAAGCTTGTGCTGGTGGCCGTTATATTGTGACCGCTGGATCAGAAGAAAACACTATTGTATTTGTAACGAAACAACCATTCGGCTTTAATGATCGCACGGTACAAAGTGACCTACCCTGTGAATTTGTTAATCTTCCGGAATTTGATTACTGTCTTTTGGGGCCTTCAACAATTTTCACGCAAGAGCCTAAAGTTGGTGAGAAAATCCAGGTGAGACATTTAGGAACGGGAGCCAAGAAAACTGATGTAATCAGATTAATTCTTTTTTTTTTTTTGAATCAATTTCTAAGTTGCCTTGAAATGCATTTAACAAAATCAAATAATGTTTTTGTGTTTATGACATTTTGTAGATCAAGTCAGATGGATTATGGTATGATGTCAAAGTTACCGCAGTAAATGGCGACAATGTAGAATATATTTCGACTTCTAATCTAAACAGCCCAACAAGCGATACTTTTACTGAAGATGGTGATGATAGTAGTAATGGTGATAGCAATAGTAGCAGTGACAGCGGCGATTACCTTGGCTTATCGGATGCCCTATTATTAAAACAAAAAAAAAATAATAGCATAAGTTGGTGTCCATGGGCGTCTGGAGTGTCTAATTTAGAAGTCAGACCTTATCGTTGCCTCCATATTGGTGATCATGTTGAAGCACCTGTAATATACCCAGACTATCTCTACAATTACCATAGCCTTGAAGAATCGCAACTTTACCTCCCAGCTCGCATTATGGATGTTCAGGGTGATCAGTATCTAGTCAAGTTTAGTCCTGCTGCCATGGCCTATCATTGGTGGCCCGGTCGCGCCCCAATTAACGAAGAATTTCCACGTGGGCTAAATTCCAAAGAGACCGTTAAGAATCTGTTTGATAAAACTCAAGTTTTGGTGAGCATGGATCGGGTTCGTCCTTACGCTAGAGGTGGCTCATATCCTGTCTTGGGCACGCAATCTATAAGGCCAAAGAGCTGGTCGGCGTTTCAGAAGGTCCAATTTGAGGATCTGCAACAAATTGAAAATATTCTATGGAAGTGAGTTATAGTAATAGTTAATTCTAGAAATAATTTTATATTTTGTCTCTTTCTGTCTCCGTTGCCATTAATATCTCAATAATTATAATATCAAATTTAATATTTAATTGTAAAAATGAAATAATTGCTTTTATTTATAAAATTAAAAAAAAGGAATAAGTAAAATATATATATAACAATGTGATGAAGTCAAGTAGAATTATTGTGATAAATGAAAATTATCAGGTCCATGTTGAAGATCAACATCATACAATGTGTATCAAAATTTTCCAAAAATTAATAATTTTCAAGTAAAATTTTTCCATTCTATAAAGTTTCCAAAATAAATAATTAACGATACCAGGTTGAAAAGTAATAATGAATTCTCATTTTCTACAGTGCAATTATACAAAAGAAATGCTTGAATTTTATCGAATTACTGTTGCTCCTCAGCGACATACGTCTTGCATATATCCTTGTGTTCCTTATAATGACTTTTTTGACAAGCAGTCCCGCAATATACCACTCTTTTACATCTTCCACAACGCTTATTGTTGTCGTTCGCTTTTCCACATTGAGCACAAACAACCAACATAAGTAAATCTTTTGCTTTCTGCAACGACATCCTCAAAACTCTCTGCTCTCCAATACTGACGTGTGCTGCTGCCCAAGAGCTACTACCTTTTTGATATTTACCAGAAGCAATTCTTGATTCAAGTTCCTCAAGAGGAATGCCAAACTCAGCCAACAGACCCTCAAGTGCTTCGATCAAAGCCCCCAAAATTTCTGCCTCATTACGAGCACTTACCACATTCCTGGCACCGTGATTGACCTTTATTGTAGGAACTTCTGAAGGAGTTAGACGTTGAATCCGTAAATAGCGAAGCACATCCAACGGAAGAGGATCATCGAGTTTAAGAGGGAAGGAGGCATCAGCTTTTAAACCAGCCGATTCAAGCATGGAAATTTTCTGAGCGTACAATGGTGCTAACGGATGTGTGGAAAGAACAAGATCATAAGAGTCGTGTGGGTTGTCAGGGAGGACAAATCCGTAGAGGCGAAGGAATCGATTGTTAGGAACAGGACCATAATTGATAAAGACCTTTTAAGAGATGCGAGAAATGAAGATTAAAATTTGATTGGAAAAATTTTAAGCACATCAAAAAATCAAAACGGTGCATAACTTGTTCTCCTATTGCGTAATCTTTTCCTGCCACTACTCGCAAGTTACCAGACTTGGAATCGTAAATATGACAAAGTTGAACGTCAAAAGAGTGATTCAGCAAGTCGGCAAAAGGTACAATGCAACGAAATTGTTTGTCAGGTAACTGGAAATCCATAGCACGACTCCAGACTGTGCAAAGAGCCCATATATACTAAAGGACACAAGCAAACATAAGGTTAAAGTGCACTTTATGTATTAAATAAATAAGATCCTGTAAAAAACCTACATCATTTTGGGTAAACTTTTCCAAAGGAAAAATATCAGGATGCTTGGAAAACAAATTATTGAAGAGCTGAAGGTAATCATCTTTGATTTGCTGCTTCAATTGTTGAGTAAGGAGATAAAGCGAAGAACCAGAACAGATTTCAAGCTCGTCATCGTCAAAGAACAGACTCGTTGTATAGCTGGATGGTAGCAATTCTACATGTGATCGTCTTCCTTCGTATCCTTCTTTGCGTGATTTGACAAAAAGAAGAAACACAGCTAATGTATCTTCTACTGATAATGATGACTTTATTGGATGTATCACAGGTCCAAGAATAGGGTCATCAAGTGCACCATCTACTGTCCAGAGGAATGTACTTGGTATAGTAAGAACTAGGTCATTGTATTTAAGAGGCCGAAGTGTTTTAAGACCTCTTCCAGTATCAGGGAAGTCTTCTAGTTGCAGCCAATTGTATCCTTTAGCTCCACCACTCTCAAGCCATTTCTGTAGCTCTGTTGTCGCCATAGCAGATATCAGATATATTGTCAAAAAAGGATTAAATTTTTTTCTATGATTGTGTAACTAAGAAAACAATTTTGATAAATCATATCCAGCCAGATATAAACATTATATATTTAAAATTTCAAAAATGTATTGTATTTCAAAATGTATTGTATAAAAATTTTGAATCAAGTGTTAATTGAAAATAAAAAGAAAATACCATGATCACCTTCACACATAATTCATAGCCATAATAATTAGATTCCTGTTAAACCGGCCACTTTGCCTAAAATATAGCATTACTAATGAATAATAACATCATTGTTATTTTGTTATTTTATTGGTTTTGATATTAGATTCATCAGAGATTTTGTTTCAAAATCATTCGAATAAAAAATCAGATTAATAATAAACTTGATTACACTTACAGTTTGTGTAGTTAGTGTCGATGCCAATATCAATGTTGCGTCGTGATTATCCATGTAATCATCATTATTGTCATAATTATAATTATAATTATTGCTGCAATTAACAATACGCCAATAAATAAAATGATCGTTATTATACAAACAAAACCATGATTCCATCAACTTGTATAAACTTACATTTGTAATGATTATTATATTTGTGATAGCGTGAATATTAATAAACAATAATCAATAACGATCAATCAAACAAATAAATAAAGTAGTTGCGGCAAAATCTTGACTCCATTAGCTGTAGAAACAAGCTTACAATTGTTTCTCTAGTCGAAGCTTTTGAGGAAGATGGCAATATTGTAAAAGCGGTGTTTGTGACAGAAATTGTTGTGAAAGTAGACACCATAGTGAAAGAGGAGGCGAAAGAAGTGTTTGTTGATGGTGTTTATCTTTTATCTTGGTACGGCCAGTAGTTAATGGAATTATCATGATTATAACGATAATTTTCTTGTATTATATCTTGCCAATAATTTGACAATTCATTTTTAGATTTGTTCTACAGTATTAAAGTAAATATTGATTATTAATTGTAATTTTGTAATAAATTATTTATATATTAAATGAGAAAGAAAACCACAAGCTCTGCAAATGTTCACTTACGCATCCATAGGTTTTCAAGGATTTACTTGCGCTTTTCTAACAGTTTATTTGCGCCCAACATTCGATTTCACAACTTTTCATTATTTTTCATTATCCATCCATCATTCTTTATAAATAAAATTTTTTAACAAAAACGATCAATCATTCACACTTCCGCTGTGTCAAAACCAATATTGCCGAAAGTTATTTTTTTATTTTTATTACTAACCATCAGATTGTCAACACAATCATTTCATTAATATACGAAGATGTATCTTGTTTTATTTTTTATTTTTAGACTATTTTTATTGGTTTTTAAAACTTGGGAAAACAATTGAATTTATCTTGGATACACAAGTCACAATTTGCGCGAAGAATTTTCATTTTAAGGTAGAGTCCGTGATGTGTAGAGTCTGTGAGTCCGTGAGGTCTGTCATTTAATTTGATGCAAAATTATTACCAAAAAGAGACTAGTTTTTGAAAAATATTCGTGCACTACTTAATGTTACTAAAAGCAGATTAATATAATTCATTTTAGATTCTTTTTTTTAAAAAAGGTAACAATAATAATAACATTTTATTATTATTATAATACGTATATATATATAATTATATACAATAAAAAATAAAGTAGCACACATATATTATTATTAACTCCCTGTAATACCCAATAATTGGTACGACTCGGCATCACACAAACTTAACACGCCCCATTCATTCCATTCCTTACTTTCCTTACTTTCTCTGCCCACTCTAAAAATTATTAGTTTTTTTTTATTTCAATCTATTTTAATGAAAATATAGTCCATGTGAATTTCACACTTCACACCCATATTTGATTGGCTAATTTCAATTTCACATACTATATTAATATACATGTATATATATATATAAAATTTACTTGAGGGTGGTCATTTACGAACCTTACTAAAAAGAGGCTAAGGTTTGCAAAGTATTCGCACTCTATTTTTAGGATGAATAACTGATGGATGTACCAATAACGTGTAACGTTTTTATATCTGGGAATTAATTAGTGCAAATAGATTGATTATTTTTAAAGGATTCCAAGGGAATCAAAGGCAACACCTTAATTGGCTAATACTAAATCCAGTGGCATGGCGGACATTTGTATAAATGGTAATGATTTTCGTCGATCATATTTTTGATTTTATCACGTATCACGCAAAAAAGAAATTTTGATTGGTCGAATAAATTACAATGTAGAGAAAAGCAAGATATTGGAAGCAAAATTTTATTTATCTTATCTAATAATACAAAACCATCATCAATTTAACAGTAACTGCCTAAAATAAATGTATTATACAAACCACTTTTCTTTTTCCTGTGTCCTATTTATCTAACAATAAATAATGAATACATAAATAAATATACAAAATTATTAATTTAATAATTATATAACAACTAACTACTTTGTTTCATTTTGTTTGTGTCCTATTATTCAGTAAATAAATAAATATACATGTATAATTTATACAGCACCGTTAAACAATAACTACCTAATAATAAGAAATAGATATAAAAAAATTGTTGATTTTAACAATAATTATAGAATAACTACCTTGTTCCTTTTGTATGTGTCCTATTTATCTAACAATAAGAAATAAAATGCCACCTTTTGAAATAATATACATATGTTAAAGATGACTCCCCAATTAATTGCAACTAATTACGCCATATAAAAATTTGAATTGCAGTTGCGGCATATGATAATTGGATTGCGGCTAATTATGGTTTCCATCTTTAACCAAACCATCATCACACAATATAAAAAGATTGACAATTTAGCAAAGTGTCATATTAATATTATTAGACAATGACTTTAAAACTTATTTTTAAAACTAATGACTTGGAAATCTTTCAATAAAAGAAATATGATTACGTAAATTAGAAAGATCTTTTTATTCTAAAATTTTTTAAATTCGGGCTGTAGACGTAACATTTATAGATTAGCGTGATGGAAGTTTTATTTATCGCATTTATCGCATTTATCGCGTCGTGAGATCTCGAAACTATGTTGTGTGACCATTACTATATAATTTTAAAATAGATTTGTATGCATAAACCAGTTTTTCAATAAACAAAAAAAAAATTAAAATCGTGTTAATTACATATATGTAAGGTGGAAAAAAAAATAGTTCTACTTTTGAGATTAATATTACACAGACTTTTATTTGGGGAAATTTATATAGTAACAAACTTTATTTCTAGATATAAAACCAAGTTTAGATTATTCTTTAAATTACTGTCATCAAGCAGTCGTCAATACCCATGGAGTCTTATTAAAAGCAAAGTTTATAATCTAGCAATTTCTTTCCCACTAGGATTCAGGTTACTGAAACATTAATACAATTCAAATCGAATATTCATGAGGTTTGTTGGAAATGAAGACTTTTTATATCGCAATTTCCAACTCTGTTATGTTATTAAACTATTTTTATATATATACAATTTAAGAAAGATTTTACAGATAAGTAATGTATATTTTTATCAATTGGAGTATCAACATCATTTTAAATATATTTATTATATTTATCTAATAATATTTTTTTTTTAATATTATAGATGCATATATAATTAATTATTCAAATATAATATTTACTTTTCAATATATATATAATGTGGTGGAAAGATAGAAATATTCTCAACTTTTTCTAAAATTTTATTAAAAGCACTTGAAGATGAAATGGTAATGATAACGGAAATATAAAAAATAAACAGTACTATTCTTATCTTAGTGATGATATCTAATTTTGTAATTCTTGTTCACTGTGATCGATGTTACACGTCGATGCTTATTTTTTGTTACTGACTGACCTATGAATTTTTCAAGGGTTCTCCGTATGCTACGATTTTACACTTCATTAATTGATCAGAGAATACATCAACCAACTTTCAAGATTCGCGTTAATGTGACCAAGCACTCAATTTTACAGTCATATATTATTATTTTTGCATGTAACTCTGATATAATTTTAGGACTGGCAATACACTAATAGAGCCTCCAAAGTCTTCCTATATAAAAAATGAATCCAAGAAAAAAATACAAAATGCAAGAGTATTTTTCCTTATCCGCAATTTTCACATGCAGAAAATGCAATCTTCCTTCCATTTTTCTTTGCATCCAGGTCTCTCTCTTTATTCTTTTTTATTATTATAATGTACAGAATTAACTCATTATATATACCACGTATAATATTAATATATATATTACCAGCGTAATTTATTCCTCAGACCTTTACTAATTTGGGGAAACAACATTTGCAAGAATAATATACCTTTCGTTGAAAGCTTTATTTAGTTAAAAATAATACTGTTAATCCCGTAGACTAAAAATTTAAAAAATATAAATATAAATTATATATATTATTATGTATTTTCAAAGTATTTACCCATTGCATATTTTATTCTTTTCATTTGCTTCAATATTATATATGGACATCAAAAGAATTTCAAAGAGTAGTAGTTAGTTGTTTTATAATTATTGTTAAATTAACATATATTTAAAAGCGTGGATAATAGATATAAGAAAGATAGACCCTCCCTACTTTAAAAAAATTGTAAAAAGAGGTTTTATATATCTTTCGAGACTTTATGGTGGTTGTTTTATATATAATTATTGTAGTAATAGTTTTGTATAATAGTAACATGGTAGTTGTTCTATAATTGTTGGGCGTGGACAATAAAAGCAAGGTCAATGTCAATAGATGTTGACCTTGTTTCTATTGTCCACGCCTCAGATAAAAGTTTTCACTGTTATGTAAATAAATTTACATAGAGTATTTCCTTTTCTTTAAAAATTTTTCGAGCTTTCTATTTGCGCGATAACGAAATAACCAAAGAAATGTGGAGTAGTTTACATCAACGTGAGGTTATGCATATTCTACGCAAATCCCCTGATTTGTCAATATTTTTATATTAATATGCGTTTTCCTTATGCCAATATATATATATATTATCATGTTGTAATAAGTATACATTTGGAAAAGGTGCAATATATTTATTGAACTAATTTCAAATTTCTCTCGATTAGATTCATCTTTTCCTCAAGCTAGTTTTAAGCCAGGAGAATATAATAAGTAGCAGTCGTGCCTTTAAGCGAGCTAGAGCTGCGGATATAATTTTTAAGGTTTTAAAGAACCGGCTTATATATCAGGAATATAGTTAATATATTATATTCTAAAAAAGGCTCCGAGAAATATTTTTATATTTTATTATTAATAACAAATATTTCAACATTCGATAATAAAATTTATACAAAAAGAAGGCAAAATACGAGATGAATATTATTATACATATTTTACAAAGATTCACCACCATCAACACGAACCACAAGATGTACGGTGGACTCTTTTGAAATGTTGTACTCTGATAATGTTTTCTTTGCGATAGCCAGCTCCTTTCCAGCGAAAATGAGACGTTGCTCGTGTGGTGGGATCCCCTCTTTATGCTCTATCTGCAGTTTTAGATCGTCAACTGTTTGGGTTGCAAGGACATCCAGAGTGATATTCTTCCCCTTCATCGTTTTTAAGAATATTTGCATGGTTCCAGGAATACGTACGACAAGATAAATGACGGATTTCGCTTGTAGGTCATAATCAGAAATGCTTTTGTTATTCTCCAATCGTTGATTAAAAAGCATGAGATGTTGTTGATCGTGTGGGTACCCTTCTGCAGTTTCAATTTTTTCTTTTAAGGAAGCGATGGTATCATTAGGCTTAACCTTCAAGCTAATCGTTTTGCCAGTGAGTGTTGTCAATGATGTCAATGTTTTCACATAGATAGTGAACGAACTGCTTTTTTTGCGATAAAAAGTGGATACATTACGAGCTTTTCGAGTTTGGGTTTGATTAGAACTAATTATTTTTTTAAAAAAAATTTTTGTCATGTTTAATAAGCAAAATATATATATATACACTCTCTTAATAAAAAGTTATTTGCATTAATATATTTACCTTGTAGTTACCTTGGTATCTACACTTTCAAAGGATTCTTTGGTCAATAGTTCGGTAGTAAATTCATTCATAGTGAAGAAAATATGTTTGTTAATGTTAATGTTGGATTGTTAGCGTTTTAACCAAAAGGAATGTTGATGGACTTATAAATTAAAAATCATTAAATCAAAAAGTTTATTTAGACATGTTGTGCAAATTAATATTTATGTGTGAAGTGATGTTATGGAACACAAAAATTTTAAATAAAACTCCCTTAAGAAGATACATAAAAAAGAACAAATGATTCATTCTACATAAAAAACCTGTTTTTTCAGTTTTGAAATTTAAAATGAAGATAACATTGGTATCAAATCCCATTGTTTAAATCCCATTTTCAGTTAAATTAGCCCAACCAATAAAATGATTTCCACAACATCTTATCGTTCGGTGATAGTTTATATTTTTAATTTTAGTAATAGATTGAATCAAAATTGTGATTCGTGTGTGATCTCGGGATCAAATTAAATTTTCTATTAATGTAGGATTTTTTGTTTAAAATCAATACCCTATTTTGGTTATGTTGTTTGTCCTATAGAAGATGATAACCATTGACGTAATCTACTAGTACGGCTGTAGAAAACAATTGGTGGCTTATTTCATACACAGTTAGATGTTTCCAAATATTCTATCATTACGATGATATAAAAAATTCTTTCTTAAATGTCTAAAATGGTAAGTTACTCCAGTTTCAATTTAGATTTAGTCGATTTGACAACCTGTTATTCAACTGAATCAGTATTTAGGAATGAAGGAGGCTATATAATTTTTGTAATAATTGTTTCAATAAAAATCATAAAATAAGATTATAAAAAGATTATACGATAGTTTTCGGATATTAATGTATGAACATGTGAAGAAAATCGTTTTTGATTTTAAGAAACATACACAAGTTAGTATGTTTAATCTGTCAGTTCGGTCTGTTGTTATTTAATTGTTATTATTCGAAAAAAACCTTTCTTTTAAACCTTCGCACAAACAATTTCTCTTTCTTTCTCGTCTTTCATTAAAATTTAACTTAATTAAGATAATTAATTTCCTTCTTCGCATGCATGAAGTGTCACATTAATTTTAAAATACCAAGTTGAAGAAAAATTAAATTATATATAATTAACTAATTTGTAAAAAGAATTATATACTATAATAAGAGAAAAAATTTCTTTATTAATTTTTACAACGTAATCATCAATGATGATAGAAATGAGAGATATGAAAAATGAGAATGAACAAAAAAATACTTGATATTATTATCAAATCATTACTAAAAATTAATAAGATGAAATAATTATCTTTAATAAATTTTATTAATTATTTTGGAGTCCCTCCACATAGTAATAAACATCATCATCTCCATAATCTGTGTACTCGCTATCACCGAACGATAAGATGTTGTGGAAATCATTTTATTGGTTGGGCTAATTTAACTGAAA